GCTACGCAGCACACGGGGGTGACATTAACTCCAATGAAAAAAATTTCCTGTTATTTTTCATCGTATGACCAATATCTGTAGTTACACATGACAAATAACGGAAAGTATTTTGTGTGGAATTTGATTATCGTGGTATTTAATGGGTATTTAATATCCCAGTAATATAATCTTAGAGATCGGTATTAAGATAACTACATCAGCAAATTTAAATAGGCGAATATTTTCGAATAAATTTTCGCAAAACAAAAAAATGTGCAAAAATTTCGAATAAATTTTTTATTTTATTTTTTTTGAATTTATTACTTAACTGATAACAAGCTTTTTTCTAATGATATTTTTTTAATAATATTTGAATTTCAACAATATATAACGTCTTTGTTTATGCCAACGTCTATGGAATTCAATTATGATTAATATCCAGTCGTAAGTCCCTGTTTTCTAAAATCACTTGCCGCTACAATTCATAATTCATTTTTCAACAAATAATATATATATATATATAAAAGTATTTTTAGTGTCCTAACATCAAGAAATAATTTAAACATACAAAAAAAAGTTAAATTTATCATACCATGAATAGTTCCATTTTCAACTTTTCGAATTGCCTGAATTTGAGATGAAGGTTCTCTACATTGATATTGCATATTTGTACCTAATTTTTAAAAGCAAATTATTTTTCTATTTGACTTATGCCGAATACTAAATTTTAATATCATAAAAAATGCCTTATAAAGTCAAAAGGAATTCCAGATTATACATATACCTAATGTATAAAATAAGCGTATATTCATTTATTAATATATAATTGTATTTTCATTAATTAAAAAATTGTAACGAAGAAAAAAGAAACTCCACCATATTAGGTAATAATTGCTGATGAAATCTTGGTGAATTTATAGCATCCACGAGATTCATGTCAAAATCACATACTTTTAATGTAATCTAAATTATAAAATTATAAAAATTAACCAACATAAAGTAAAATAATAAATGACCAATTTGTTCAGTTTTTAAAATGAATACCTGTAATATAGATGAAATTATTCTCTTCCCTCCACTTGCACCAATTGCCAACTCAAATCTTCCGTTTTTTTTCAATTATCGTTGGAGCCATTGATGAAAGTGGTATTTTTCCAGGTTCTTTATAAAAAAAAAAACATATTAAAGGTATATACGAATATGTTGTATAACATAATAATTAAATAAAAACGATAATCACCAATAAAATTGTAAGGAGATCAAATATATCTGGCATTTCAGGTACTGAAAAGTCATCTAGAATTTCTATATCAAGATTCATTACTTGTGATCCTATGGCCTGTTAACTTATTTTTGGTTAATAAAATATATAATAAGTATTAAACCTTCAAAATGTTATTGCTATAATTCTCGGGGATTAAAGAAATAGAATAATTACTGAAGAATCACCTATAGGTTCATATACTGGATTATAATAATCGGGATCGAACGTTTCATTCTATTAAATTAAGTAGATATTAAAATATATATTTTATATATATGTACTTTATTTTTTAAACAAAAAAGTGAATGATCCGCGACTAACAATAGTGTTCTGGCGAAGTTTTTTTAAATCCGATCGCTCGAAACTAGAGTTGGAACCGAATTCATATTTCATATGTTAAATCCGAAACACTACTTACATCAGATGTCGCACTAAATCTGCGTATTCTTTTGAAATAATTTCTACTATCCTTAATTCATGTTCAGTTATATTCTCAAAACTTTTGAGAAAAAAAAAAGTAAAAGATAAGTTATCTATTTATATATGAATAACGATATATTGTACGGACTTATTAAGCATCGCCCAATTCAGTCTGTCTCGCATAATCAAATCAAAATTACAAGAATGTTATTACAATAATTCTCTTAATATAAATAGATAAAATACAAACTACCTACATTTTAATGTTTCAATAATTCTAAAAAAAAAAACAATAAAATTCACATTAACCCAAAAAATATGACGTTCCTTAATTAAACATTAATAAACAATAATAAATACCTATGTAAATTAAGACCGTTAATTTGATTAGTTTTCAAATCGTATTTTTCCAGGATATTCAATAAGAATATTAATATGGTACCACTTGCCGGTTCTGGCGCCATCACGATCTTTTACATAGTGAATAATAAATATAACAAGCTGCTACAACATTGAAATTCAAATTATAAAAAAATCTCATAAATTACTCGTACCTTTCGATCATGATAAATCCAACAAGAGGTCACACACGAAGACGGTAATTTTTTAAATCCTTGAGAGTCATAATGCCACCAGTAACTTTGACTCTTTTTATCATTGACTTTGCGATTGAACCCTATGTAAAAAAAGAAAAAAAAATAACAATAATAGTATATAACATGTAAGAAACAAAAAATATTTCAAAAAATTTATAAATTTTATAGTGCACCTTATAGAATTCAGTGTAATAGTTTCTAGAGTCTTAGCGTATAAAGAATTTGCCCTTCTTTTAACATGTTAACATTTGAAGCATAGATTTCAGATAATTGTGGATTATTTACAACTGCAGTATCGCACGAAACATCTAATGAAAAGAAAAAAACAGTTAATAATGCAATAAAGATGATAATTTTTATCTATGTACCCGTTGCGGCACATATTACAGGTTTTGGTCATCAATTTCGGACACACCTATCAAGAATGCACCTTCTCTTAAATCCTTATTAATTGATTTTTATTATTTGGGGTGGTTACGTTCTTGATAAGGGAGTCCGAAATTGATAGCCAAAACTGTAATTATAGGTTCGAAAGACGTAGTTTACCATACCTAGCAATTCAATCAGCATTTAATTTACTTCACCACTTTAAAAAAAACAATTATATAAATCAATTCGCTGTAACAATTTTCACGAGCATTTAAATAAAGCAAATATTACTTACGGTACACCAATACTCAAATCACCAACAGAAGCAAAAAGGCAATTGAAATCAATTTACTGTAATTTAAATTATGATTATGAAAAAGCTAATGCCAAATGCGTACAGTACGTACGTACATTATTTTTTGAATAGAACAGATTTAAAACTAAAATAAATTTTCTTAAACAAAGAATCAATTAAAGAATAATCTATAAGATCTATAAACAAAGAATTAAAGTTCGACGAATATTTTTTAACTCTTTTTTTCCTTGAAGATCAAGATGATTATGAAAATATTTAAAAATTTCATGTGCTTTCCTTCCATCTAAATCAATCATATTATGCGAGATGTCTAAAGTAATTAAAGTAAAATTATTGAAAAGTGCACTCGCTAATGTTTTCTCGTCCTCAGAGCTAAATCGAGCATCTTTAAGATAGAATGAAATTAGGGATTTATTTTCTCCAATTGACTTTAATAATAAATTTCTATCTTTAGAATGTAGTTGATTTGATGAAAGTTTCAATGCGGTGTTGATGTATTTTTAAGGACATCAACCAACGGGTTTAATGTTTCGTATGACAATGACTCTACCCCATTGGGGCCAATATAATTTCCTGGAACGTCCAACTTAGTCAAAGTATTGTTAATTTCAAGGACATGTGAGAATGCCATTACACCTATATCATCAATAATGTTGCGCTTAATATTTCTAAGGTATTTGTTGTCAGTAAAACCGAGACTCAAGGAAGTTAAAGTGGTGTTCGTTCTGAGAGCATTTGCTAACACCTCGCCATCACTATATCCAAATTGATTATGTGAAAGAGTTAAAGAAATTATACTAGTTTGTCCGAGTGTATTAGCTAATGCCTGTACAGTACTATATCCAAGGATAATATTTAAAATACTAAGAGAAGTTAATGTTCTGTTGTTTTCGATTGCTGCAAAAAGTGCATCTCTTAGTTCACTTAGTTGATCATCAAGAACAAGCCCACTTCCACCAAATACTAACCTCCTAAGGTTTTGGCTTGTACGAAGAATCATAATACTCAATGTAGCCATGATTTTAAGAAATTTAACTGAATTTATTTCTCCGAGGTTGAAAAGCATCCATTTTTTAATTCCTTCAACAATATCAATAGAAACTTCCGTAATAAAAATAGGATAATGAAACCATAATCCATTATTTTTAGGCTCATATGGGAATAACAATTTTTCATCAGAATTTAATCCAGCGATCAATGTTTCTATTGTTTTTATGCTCTTAAAGTTCGGATCTCTCCATAGTATTTGTGCAATAGTTTGAAACCATTTGTGGTTTAGCACAAGGCATGTAAGCAGAGTTTTATTGTCGGCGTGTTTTAAAATTTCAAAGACGGTTTCTAGTGGAAATGGTGGTAATAAAGTATAGTGTAATAAAGACATCTTTCGCGTGAGAAATTTTGATTATCATACAGACTACAGAAATTTTATTTATTAGTATTTAATCATTGGCGGACTTTAAATATTAATTGAGGAACCAACCTCGTGTTGGTCCCTCACATATATACTAACATTACACGAGCTAATTTGCTATAATGCTTTTGTCATCTTTATTATTCTTGGTTATTTTCATGTTGAATGTTTTAATCATATCTGATAAATCGATTCCAAACTTTCAATTGACTATAATAAGGCTAGCGCGGATATATTTACCACCCAAGGATGTTCATGTATTATCGCATGTGGGATCAGCCAATTAAATCATAAAAAAAAACATGTCCCGAAACATAGTTGAATTGTCTAATTACAATTTATGTATTACTAACAGTATATATTAGGATTTGGAATGCTCTATTTTATATTCAATACGTAAAAGCTATATAATTATATATAATACATAAAAAAATCATAACGATACGTATTTACAAAAAGGACGTTAATACGTACAGTACGTACAAACCACCTTATTTATCAAGATGAGATCATATGGTTACAATGTTGTCAATCAATTTTTCTCAAGCATTACGATTAGTGATCGAAATAGTGATTTGAACTGAGAAAAATTTCCTTAATCGGTTAATATTAACCGAACGAATTATTTCATTCAACCGGTTAAAGTTAATACCTCTACTACTGTACTACCTTCGACGAAACTCTCGGGTCATTCATTTTCTTTTCGGAATTTTTTTGGTTCCTTTACTCTCTCTTCATACTATTACTATATCGACCCCGCCAATTCTCAACCGGTTGTACCTAGTGATGTGCCATTTAGCGTACAATACGTATAGTTCTTTTTTGGCATCTGATTGGCTGGAACAAGTGATCGGCAGGTCATATAACAAATCACTAATCAAATCAAGATTTTAATTTAATAGTAAAAACATA